CCTCGGGGAGGCTGTGACTCTTCGCCACGCACAATGGTCTTGAGGTAATAGAGGTTTTGCTAGGTCAAGAGGCTGACACCACAATGGACGCTCCTTTCGTGAACAGATATTCACTAGACCTAGGGTGAAGTAAGGGGGGGGGGGGGGAACCCACTACCCACAACACCAACACTTCTTTCCCCCTGCCTCTCGAGGCTCAGTCCCAAAAAAAGATATTCGCAATAAATTGCTTATGCGTTTATGTTTTATGCAGTTTACACTATATATCAATTATGAAATAGGTTGTGTTTGTGCTGATGGTTGTTCTAAAGTAAACATTGTTTTCAAATCTCTGCCACTGGCAAATGCTTCTCTGAATAACCACAGGAAAGCCAAAAACGATATATCCTTGGATAAATCATTCCCCCTCACCCCCCACCCCCACCCCAAAAAAAAAAAAACTAGCTAAAATGGAAAATGTCTTGACTCAGCCTTCAGTAGGTAGCAGGTGAAGTCCTGGGAAGTAAAGGCTACCGATGTGAGGTTGGCCATATGGTTGGCTATAAAATATCCTACCCCCAGATGATGTCACAGGACATTCCGACATTTTAGAGGGTGGAAGGACTGGGTTTTCAGCCTTTTTGATGCTTTTAACAACCCTAAAACATCTAGAACTGGCCCTAACCCCAACCTACCTACATCCCACGAAAGAGTGCATCTTAGGTCCCACGACTGCATGCAGCCTAGGTCCCACGACTACATGGTGCATGTCTACCACCCCCTGGATTAGTTGACTGTCCCGTGTCCTCTGGATTTTCTTTGTTTTGGGTAGGATATTAAGAAAGCACCGGCCATATCACCCACCGAGTGCTAATTTGTCTATAATGTAAAGGTCTAGTCCTATGTGCGGGGAAAGAGATTTTTGTAAGAGTCTGCAAGATGCTCTTCAACTGCGAAAAAAACTGTCAATTACTGCCTCTAATATATACCACTTTTGGGGTGTAGGCAAGGGGGGTTTTTGAGGCTGAGGATTTACGACCGCATGGCAAGTGCTGTCGCCATGCCATTGCAGGTGAGGATTTAATTTTGCCCCCGATAGAAAAAGAAATTCCCAGCCTTGTGGAGGATTTTAACCCGGGTCTCACGTTCTTCAACTATGTACTTGAATAAGTAACAAAATATTTAAGCTTGAATCAAACACGAAATACGAACAAAGGCTGGGAAACGAGCCAGACATCATCATCAATTTCCACTTCTATCGTTAAGCGTTGTGGGGAGGAACAGTTTAACGATCCATTGCTTGATAGGCTACAAAGGCTTTTGTCATTCTGTGTCGATGTAGAAACTCTTTCCCGTAATCTGGTAATCTTAGTTTCAGCTTCATAGCAAACGGGTCACCCCAAAGTTACTCTGCGCCTGTGCCATCAAAAGCACACAGAATGTTCATCACAGTCCCTTGTGGAAAGATTGACAGACTGCTGTCTCATCATATGTAGCATACACACGCATTAAACGCATACGACAGCCATCTGAGGTGCCAACACAAACGGTCTGACATTAGAAATGCAGTTCACCTTGGATGGTAGCAGTAGTCACCAACACATCAGCACTTGCACACGCGATCAATTTTAATCACAAAAAGCACCACCAATATTGCGACAACAGGTATAATTTTCGAAATCTACAATTCACACCAGAAAAACAGTCGAAAAACATTCCAAAATAAATCCGCAGTTCGCAATGTCATGCCATGCACTCAACTCAGAAGCTGGGCGACGAAACTATATCCTTTCAGTCTACAAATGGAGCAAAAATGCAACGGCTACCGTATGGCAGAAGCAAAAAATTTTGCCACGGCTCCAAACAGTGGCCGTGCCTAGCATCCATATGTTAATAGGGTGCGCCTGCTGGTTGTTCTGTCTGTATTCCTATTGAATGACCAAACCATTTGATCTGCTATTTCTCAATGCATTTGCTCTGTAATAATGTTCCTATGGCCTTTACTTTAATAATATGACATCTGTAGGCGCGAGCCAATCTGAATTAGCATTCTCTGATCCCTGAGTTCTAATTCTCTAATTAATCTGGCAACCTGCTAGCAACGATAAGAGTTTCTTAGCAATATGCCATTTTGCAATATTCACACAAATAGGCGGCCAAAAAATTTACGCATTGTTACTTTTTTTTTTTTTACATACTAAATCAACCTGCAGTGCACTCTTTATGGTAATCGTTACGTCAACGAACAGAGACACACTTAATAAAAGTAATTAAGAAATTCTACCAACAGAGAATCAACTAGTTTGGAATTAGCAAAAGTTTAAAAAAAAGACTTACCATCTGAAAGCTCAAACAACAAGGAATAATACATGATGTCATCACCATCATCTGCCTTTCTCCATCAGGAGGCATGGGGGGGGGGGGGGGAACAGTTTGCGATCCACTTCTTGATTGTGTGCAATAGCTTTTGTCCTTTCAGGTTGAATTGTGTCTTCCAAAGTGGGGCCAACGCCTAGGGAAAGGGGGTGGGGGGGGGGGGGAAGGCGGCAATATGATTTTTAAATGGGAAAATGGGGGAGAGGGGGGGGGAGGGGGGGGGAGGTTTGATTGTTTAGGAGGTAATTTGAATATAGACTTTTCCAAAGTTTGAATTACGTAGAGGGCATACGAATTTTACAAAGACAGGTAGGACAACTATTCAAATTACAATTAGTACTTAGTGGAAATTTATTTTCTTTTATGGCTGCGTATAGAATTAATGTGCTTGGATAATATTTCAATTAAAGAAATAATTAACTCCGTTGTATTAGAAAATGTATAATGACAATCAGTAAATGATCAAATTCATCATGAATAATTTTAAACTTTTATTCATAAATTGTATTTGCATTATAAATTCAACGTTTCATTAAAACAAAAAAATCTTTTGTTTGAAAATTAAATTGTCGGCATTTGTATCTTTGACTGTACCTTCAGTTATAGGCTTTTAATAAATAAGTAAATTACAGTATGTATGGATTAAGGTTGCAACGCACAAGTTCACAGAATGGTGAAAAATAAAGTGACAATTGTAACTACTGATATTAAAAAAATTATAAATAATAATAATATTATTATAAAATTTTTGATAAACAGATATGTGAAGTTCAGTGAAAAACGAAAGACGGACGTGTAGCCGTGTCTAGATGTGCTTCTAGCCGCCAACGCTTCTGCGACAACCCCCTCCCGCCCCTCCCTTTCCCCCACTTCCTTGTTGAACGGAGCATTTATTAAATGTAATAGAAAAAAATTAGAGTACGGAAGCATCATCTAAGAAGAATTAGCAACTGACAGTATAAATAAATTTAAAATTAGATAGCAAAGCTTTGTGTTTTATTGCAGACGTTCTTACAACATCGTGATTTGGATCACTAAAAGTATCAATAAAAATATATCCTCTAAACCCTTGAAGAAGTGCTACTAGTGCTAAACGATGCCATCATGCAGTCCATCAAAAAGCAACATTCCAACGCCAAGGATACACCTGCTACTGTTCACACAAGGTCACAATCTACATACTCTGCAAACGGTGCAAATTATTTTGATGAACAAGATATTTATTTGAGGCTAATCTAATCAGCTGAGAATCGTGACTGATATGTTTATAGAGTATATAAATATGTAAAAGGAAACATACCAGAAAAATTCCAGTATCATGACAGAAACATCCCGGGAACATATAAGAAATATACAAGAAACAGTCCAGGAGCATGAAAGGAACATACCAGAAATATTCCAGGAACAAGCAAGAACACTTCTAGAAACATTCCAGGAACACACAAGAAGCATACCACATACATTCTAGGGACATACAAGAAACATTTCAGAAAGATTCCACGAAAATATGAGAAACATACCAGAAACATCCAAGAAAATGTCAGAAACATATCAGAAACATTCCAGAAAGATGACAAAAACACTCCAGGAACATACAAGAAACATGCCACAAATGTTCCAGGAACATACAAGAAACATATCAGAAACATACAAGGGTGTCTCTGTGGCTATGTGGTTAATCAGTGTCTCAAAACTCTAAGGGTCGCGGGTTCGTTTCATGGACTATGTCATTCAATATAAGTATGCAATTATAACGAAAATCATGTCATTAGAGCTACGGAAATTTTGCTTTGTTAGACGCTTTCGGCAGCCAATTAGGGTTTCAACGGAGAGACTCAGAGGCATTTGGGATAACATTCAATGCAGCGGAGCTGATCTTCTATTTCGGGGAATTTACAAGATCAAACATAGACTGACAGAGATTCTGTAGAAGTTTAGTTTCCAGAGTGTAAAACGTTTGATTGCCACTCAGATTTGCTCATCTGTGGTCAAATTTTCAGGATAGGATGGCGCGCAAGAAAGGCGGGGGGGGGGGGGGGGGGTGGGGGGGGGGGGGGTAATCACTTTAGAAAACTGGCTAGCCAGCCTTTTACCGATTCACTGATCCCTGGTTTCATATCGTCAAAAAGGTGGTTTTTTTTTTTTCTCCTTATTTTTATGTCAAATAAATAGAATACATATTATTGGGAAATATTGTGAGGGAAATAAAGGCATTCGGCGTGATAACAACAAAGTGTATCGAGTTTTAACTGGCAGAGACAGATTTCAGCTATAAGCAAACACTGAAAACATTTGAAGACATGGACACTAGGTATTTACATTTATAAATTCATCATCTGTTGCCGGTCCGAAAGCTTGTACAGACAGACATTCGGTGATATATGTGGTCTTAGCCACTCTTGTTAATTCTTCCTTCCGCTATCAAGTAGTGTCGTTTTCTTCGACCTAATTTGCCACTGCACAGTGTTTTCATATTTCTTTTCTTTGATTATCTTTGTGTGGTTCAGGAATCTCACAGCATTTGTAAATTTTCTGTTCTCATGGCTTTTAGTCAAATTTAGAATTGGTAACATAGAGTAATTACAACGGTTGGGCTGCAGAGCTTTGTTTCCACTGGTTCTAATATGTTGTGTGCAGTTCATTCATCAGAAGTGATTTTGATCTGTCGCTCCATAAGATAAATAGATTTGAATTGATCGTATGTAATTGAGTCTTTTTCTCTTCTTTTCCTTTCTCTTCTTTCTCTTCTTCTTCATCTTCTTCTTCTTCTTCTTCTTCTTCTTCTTCTTCTTCTTCTTCTTCTTCTTCTTCTTCTTCTTCTTCTTCTTCTTCTTCTTCTTCTTCTTCTTCTTCTTCTTCTTCTTCTTCTTCTTCTTCTTCTTCTTCTTCTTCTTCTACTTCTTCTTCTTCTTCTTCTTCTACTTCTTCTTCTACTTCTTCTTCTTCTTCTACTTCTTCTTCTACTTCTTCTTCTTCTTCTTCTTCTTCTTCTTCTTCTTCTTCTTCTTCTTCTTCTTCTTCTTCTTCTTCTTCTTCTTCTTCTTCTTCTTCTTCTTCTTCTTCTTCTTCTTCTTCTTCTTCTTCTTCTTCTTCTTCTTCTTCTTCTTCTTCTTCTTCTTCTTCTTTTCCTTCTTCTTCTTCTTTTCCTTCTTCTTCTTCTTCTTTTCCTTCGTCTTCTTCGTCTTGGCGTTCACCGGCTGTAACCATCAACGGAGTTCTGGTTGTTTGTAACTTCTAGACTTTGATCTTAATCCAGAACTTGAGTTTTGCGTGCAAATTTGTTTTTGAACATCTGGATTACTTTTAAACAGACTGTTAGTTCATTGCCTACCAGGCAGATGGACTTTGACTTTAAGGAGTACACCCTAATAAGTCTCCTACTACGACATGATAGTTAGGGAAATGGAGCCCCACATGGAAGTCTTTCAAGGATAATTTTTTTTTTTTTTTTTCAAGATTTAGTTGCTTACAGCTAAAATGGCTGAATAATATTCTTCGCGAGTACGTGTTTCACTACCGTGGACAAAGCTAAATTGTTTAGCACATTCTTTAACAACCTACCCCCTCCCTGCTCCCCGACATATTTGTTGATGGAGGGTGAGGGGGAGGTCGGGGCTGATTCGCTACCCTATAACAAGTATGTCGTACAAGACAGCTAGTTGAGTATGGATCTTATGAAGTCATAGTGCATCTGCCTGAGAGCCGAAGAACCAACAATCTGCATACAAGTATGCCAGCTCTACAAAACGGATGTACCCACGATCTGAAACAAGAGCAACGTTCAGAAGTGGATTAACAACCAGAAATGTCTTCTGAAGTTTACAGCTGCTGGAAGCTAAGAAGAAGATGCTACTTATGCTTGAGTTTGTCAATAATGAGCATAATTAATCTATCTTTCGTTTGATATTATCTTAATAAACGGCATAATTTTGTTGATAGGACAGCATGATTCAACATCTAAAAGAACACATGGCGTAGTTCACACAAGGTCAATAGCTACAAGACACAAAGAATAATCAAACGTTGCAAATAATTACAGTGTCAATGTTTTTGGTTTAATTTAATCAATGGCGTTTCGTAAATGTCATATTTTTGAAAAGTGTATATAAAAGGTCAAATTGCTATTCTCTGCTGAAAAAACAACAGAACAGCAAGGTGAGTGACTTTTATTTTGGTGGAAACATTCAGAGCACACACGAGCACTGTGTCATATTTTGTTTCTTCAGTTCTCTTTGTGCCTAGTGGCACATGAGGCTTCAGAAAGGACTTTCCATGCTTTCCTGTCCTGTGCAATCTTCAGTGCAGTTTTCCATGTCAAAGATGCCGCACTCAGGTCACTTTCCATCGTTCGTCTCCATGTTATTTTTGGGCGCCCCTGTTTTCTATTTCCATCTGGTGTCCATGCGAGAACTGTTTTGGCAGGTATATCATGATTCATTCTCATAACGTGGCCAAGCCATTTTCATCTTCTCTTGGTTATCATTTGTCTAAAGTTTATAGTTCATGTCTTATTTACCCAGTGCTATCTCTGTATTTGAGGTTTGCTACAGTTTTACTAAGACAAAGCTCATGTTAAACAGGTCATGTTTTGCAGGTAATTAGCGGAAAACTATACTAAAGTACTATCATCTAAGAATCAGCAGCTAAAAGTAAAAATCAAATCAAAATTAGATAAAAAACAAAGACAAACTATGTCTTTTTTTTCTTTCTTTTTCAGGCGTTCTAACAATATGTGAGTTGAAACACAAGAATTATCAATGAGAATATCTCATTTAAATCTTCGGAGACGACAGTTGAGAGTTAATTATACTCTAAGAACATTACCCGTTGATGCACTAAGTGTAGCAATGACAATATCCACGGTAATTTTAAAACAGTGTGGATCAATACAACTTTATAGTTTCAGTCTAAACTCCTGGCGACAGCACAACTTTCCATTACTGCGCGGTCAAAATGTAACATCTTCAACTAAGTTACTGAACTATTTAATCAACCTGCAAGGTGGTCTTAGTGCCTCAGGTTGACAACGTTCACCTCTAGCTCTGACACAGCTGAATTCACCTACAATGTCCATAAAAGTAATATAGGAATTCAAAATCTGCTAACAAACAATAATTATAGCAAATGTTCCTGGTACAAACATACTCACAAGTTTTGTTGTGCGCGAAGCTCCTAATTGTCACCTAAAAGAATCACCAGTTATTCACGATGAACAGTTTACGATCAATACAACTTCCCAGTTTCAGTCTGAAGTCTTGGTGACAGAACAACTTCCCAGTTTCAGTCTGAAGTCTTGGCGACAGAACAACTTCCCAGTTTCAGTCTGAAGTCTTGGCGACAGAACAACTACCCAGTTTCAGTCTGAAGTCTTGGAGACAGCACAACTTACCAGTTTCAGTCTAAAGTCTTGGCGACAGAACAACTACCCAGTTTCAGTCTGAAGTCTTGGCGACAGAACAACCTATCAGTTTCGTCTAAAGTCTTGGCGACAGAACAACTTCACAGTTTCAGTCTTGGCGATAGCACAACTTATCAGTTTCAGTCTGAAGTCTTGGCGACAGAACAACTTCCCAGTTTCAGTCTGAAGTCTTGGCGACAGAACAACTTCCCAGTTTCGTCTAAAGTCTTGGCGACAGAACAACTTCCCAGTTTCGTCTAAAGTCTTGGCGACAGAACAACTTCCCAGTTTCAGTCTGAAGTCTTGGCGACAAAACAACTTCCCAGTTTCGTCTAAAGTCTTGGCGACAGAACAACTTCCCAGTTTCAGTCTGAAGTCTTGGCGACAAAACAACTTCACAGTTTCAGTCTTGGCGATAGCACAACTTATCAGTTTCAGTCTGAATTCTTGGCGACAGCACAACTTACCAGTTACGTCTGAAGTCTTGGCGACAGAACAACTTCCCAGTTACAGTCTGAAGTCTTGGTGACAGCAAAACTTATCAGTTTCAGTCTTGGCGATAGCACAACTTATCAATTTCAGTCTGAATTCTTCGCGATAGCACAACTTCCCAGTTTCAGTCTTGGTGACAGCACAACTTATCAGTTTCAGTCTGAATTCTTGGCGACAGCACAACTTATCAGTTTCAGTTTCGCCCTGCCGCCCCCCCCCCACCCCCCCCCCAAGGGCACAAACACATTTATACAGACATTTATTTTATTTTTATTTTCATATCCTTTACAGGACGTTGCAGAACCAATCCCAGCAGCCCCTCGCTGTTGTGTGGTTTCTCTAGGAACATTTATGACCAGTAGTTTGTCATTGCTTCCTGGACGGTCAGTCCCCTAATACAACTTTTGAACCCAACCCAAGGCGCATAGCCTGCAGCTGGGATCGAACCCGGCACCACTGCATTACGAAGCGTTCACATCGACTTAGCCACAGAGCCGGCAGATATATGTATATATAATCACATAAAAAGACATATTTTGAGACTAAAGAAAGCATTCTTCTTCTACTTCTTTTTTTTTTTTTAATGTAAAATATACGAGTCGTAAAACGTCGCACAGAGAGAAGTTAGATGTACTTTCCGATGGTTTGCTAGTTGTGTATCTTGTGTTTATGTCAAGTTACGTTTCCTTGGTTTACCTTTTACTCCACACACTCATCTCTGTAATGGTCCGCCTGCTTTTCAATTTAATGACATTATTTTTACAGGTGAGACGACAGAAATGTGCCGCTAAAAACTAAAGAAAGCGATGAGAAACTTTCACATTGTGTTGTTTATTGGGGTCATGTGTCTCCTGCAGACGATGGCTATGATTTGTCCCTACAGTGACCCGGTGAGCCAAATATCTTTTATAATTTAGTGGACATTTTACGTTGTACTTAATACAACAGCTATTGGCTGACATAAATGGTAATTTGTGTGCCAGTATATGATAACATATATGTAACAGGATGGAATGGGAAAATTCTTATTCTGTTAATAATCCTCGTTTCGCCACACTTGCGAGCTAAAACTGGCAGGTTTGTAGGTGGGTACTCTCTGTAAGTTGTCAGTAAATCGAAAAGTTTATAGAGCCCTCGCACAGCGTGAAAACGCTTCCTTTGATCTCGCCAGTAGCCCTAAGGACATGTAGTCCACCTATCGTTTCAGAACTGTACATGGTTTTCAACCCAACGTAGATACAGCGTACTGAGTCAAGAGAGACGAATTGGTTCACTGGCTTCGGGTATAGGGGTACGTTCAATAGGTAGATTGCGTTAGATTAGGATTTGATTAAGGCATGGTCTTTTCGAAATAGTTGTTAACTGTTATACATGTATTATAATCTGCGAAGCACACCAGTTTTGGATTCAGGAAAATAAACATATATCAAACGTGATGATTATATTTAATTTGTAATATTCAGAAAAGGACTTTTAGTTCGTGCACGAGGTCTTTCCGGGCGCTGCCAATGTAGTTACAAGTTGTAGTTTTTCTGCCATATTTCTCTATTCACGTATTTATCGCATAGGACATGTCTAATAATTCATGGCTCCTGCGCCAGATGAACGCTTGTCATGCCTTAACTTTATTTTTTATTTAAACTGCAGTCCAGCTAGTTATTGTCCTAACAACATTTCTTTCCTCGTCATCTTACTTGTTTTCCTGTTTTAGTTTCCAGCTAGCTCATACACATCATATATATTTTAGTTAACCACATCAAGGATATGTGTAGTGTCTTCTTCTTCTTGCTATTTTCATTCCTCTTCCCTATCACCAACCTCAACCTGCGTTTTGGTAACTTTTCTACTTCTTCTTCATCTTCTTCTTCTTCTTTTTTGTCTTCTTCTTCTTCTTCTTGTTGTTGTTGTTGTTGTTGTTGTTGTTGTTGTTGTTGTTGTTGTTGTTGTTGTTGTTGTTGTTGTTGTTGTTGTTGATGTTCTTCTTCTTCTTCTTCTTCTTCTTCTTCTTCTTCTTCTTCTTCTTCTTCTTCTTCTTCTTCTTCTTCTTCTTCTTCTTCTTCTTCTTCTTCTTCTTCTTCTTCTTCTTCTTCTTCTTCTTCTTCTTCTTCTTCTTCTGTTTTCATCTTTGGCTGCGACTGCTGCTGCTTCTTCTTATTCTCCCCCTCCTCCTCCTTCTCCTCCTCAAGCACTTACACGTCTTTTGGAGCTTCGCCACTGCCATTACTACATGTGTTAACCACATTTGCTGTTAAGGCAGGGCGGTCTTTGAGTCTGAGGTTTACAGCCTTGTGGTTAATGCTGTCGCTACGTACTGTAC